CATCCATTCGCCTCCATTCCCAACGATTCACATTCATTCGCAGCCATTCCCATCCATTCCCATCTATTCCTATCCAGTCCTGGCCATTCGGAGCCATTCGGAATGCCCGAATAGAGATTTTTCCCCCCTTGGAATATCCACATATATGTATAACATTTGAGTTTGACAATATTGATAAAAAAAAATAATATATAAAAAAAATGATTTTAATAATATAAAAGGTTGATATGAATCGTTGTGTTGTTAATGATGCCAAATAGTATCAATATAAATAGTTGATTTTCATATTAACAAATTAGATGAATATAAATAGTTAATGTTTATAATATTCATTGGGATTGATATGAATTTTCGATTTTAATGATATCTAATAGAATTAATATATAATGTTTGTTTATTAAAACTACACGTTGAATTTCATTGAAATTATTTTTTTTCTTATTTAATGTATTAAAATAAGCATATAACATATGTTTGATTTGTTAGTTGAGTATTTTTTCAATTTTAATGAGGATAATGAAGAAAGGGACGTAATGTAATGAATCGGTTGATTGAAAACAATACTTGTATGAATAATATAAGTTTTTGGTTAAATATTTATATAATAATGTTTTTCTTTAATAAAATATAAAAAAAGTGTCATGTTAAAAACGTTGTCGATTTGTTTGATTGTTATTACCAATATTGACCATTTGATCGTATATACGTTCTCTTATGTATTGATATATGACTTTTATGTTTTTTCCTTTTCTTTTTCACTGATTATATAAATGCAATGAATGATTTTATATTGTCATTCCTGATGATGTGTTCAGTCCGAACACGAAAGCTTGAATCCCTATCTTTTATTTCTGATTGAAATAAGATTTTCTAATGATTTTCACAGCAGTTCTCTCTTTCTTTTCTTATCTTTTACCTACTGCTCTCTCTCCTAAATTTATTTCTAATCTTCGTTTGAAATATGGCGAATCGATTTTGGTAAGTATACGACATTGTGAAAAATTAAGTGAGAAATTACAAAAAGCAAAATGCGATATTGAATTTCTTAGATGTTGTTTAATATATAATTTAACACCTAATTTTCTTAATATACGTTTATGGAAGCCAGGTTTAAGAACATCCGAAAAATATAAGTATTTTCAATGACATTGTCTTATTCGTGAATTTGAATCTAGACAGAAACAATCGAGAAATCTAGAAAAACAAATATCATCAATCTTAATAGAATTAGAAAAACGTCTTTCGAGTGTAGATTATATTAATGTAAAGAAATTTTGTTATAATTCAGCAAGTAAAATACATAGTGAAGTAATGATAAATCATAAAAAGAAATTAGAAATATTAAATGGAGGTCCGATTGGACAAAATTACGAGGAAATGAAAAATAAATTAATTCATAACATGTCATCATATACACTTTCAGAAGTAGAAGAAAGATTATTATGTCGTGGTTGGGCTTTTTGTATAGAGAATAAGATTAAGAATTTCTTGGATTTTGAAACAGATTTAGAACTAAATGCTATGAAATTACAGTCTCATTGTCATGATTCAGTTTTTCGTCTAGTTTGTCGTCAGACACAGAATGCTTCGCAACAACTCATGAGAACATCTAAACATAAAAAAATAAATAATCTATCAGATGAAGAATTAGCCGCATTAAAATCATTAAAATTGAATAATAATATAGTCATATGTAAGGCAGATAAAGGTAACAGCATAGTCATATTAGATCGAGAAGTATACATGAAAAAAGCAGAAGATATTTTAAAAGGAGAACAATTTGAGCAATTAAATAGTGATACGTTTCATCTTGAACGAGAAGAAGAATTAAATAAATATATTTTATCATTGTATAATGATAATGTAATAGATAGTAAACTTCGTCATCAATTAAAATCAACATGTTCCTCTATTTCAGTCTTTTATGGACTTTCTAAAACGCATGAAACAGGATATCCTCTACGACCAATAATATCAACTATAGGAAGTTATCAATATCAACTATCGAAATACTTAGCTAAAGCTATTAGAGATGCTCGTTCACAGGCTCCATTATATATCAAAGATTCATTTGAGTTCGTAAAAAAGATCAAAGAAATAGTACTCGAGAAATATAAAACATATATAAAATGTAGTTTTGATGTAGAAAGTCTATATTCGAATGTACCAGTCAATGAAGCAATAGAAATAACATTAGATTATTTGTATACACCTAGAAAATTAATAGATGTACCTTTCAATAGAGATCAAACGAAAACTCTTTTAAATTTATCAATAACAGACGCACCTTTCCAATTCCATAATAAGATATATAAACAGATAGACGGAGTAGCTATGGGTAATCCCTTAGCACCTATACTAGCCGATTTATGGATGCAGAAAATGGAAGAAAAACTAAATAGATTTCGTACGAATAGACCCATAGTCTGGTTAAGATACGTAGATGATATTTTTTGTTTATTCACCATCTCAGAAACAAAAATTAAAGATTTTCACTCACGCATAAATAAATGGCACGATAATTTGAAATTTACTCTTGAACCTGAGTCAAATAATTCCATCTCATTTCGGGATGTTCGAGTAACTCAAGACGAAGAACATAAACTAACAACATCATCGTATCGTAAACCAACACATACAGGGTTATACATGCTCTGGGACAGTAATCAAAATTGTCGCTATAAGTTAGGTCTAATAAAAACGTAAGTAATACGTATCCATAGAATTTGTTCGAAACAATCAATAATAAAAGATGAATTAAATTTGTTAAGGAAAACATTAACTGACAATGGATATCCGCCACATATAATTCGAAGAGGAATAGCTGAAGGAGAAATACTCATTAGGAGAATGCGTAAAAAGCAAACAAATACGAATAAATAATAATAAGACCATCTATTTTACGATGAGATACTATGGACAAGAGTCAGTTATTTCTGCGTCTAAAATTAAGAAATATTGTCGAAAATTAATTCCTAATTTGAATATCCAATTTGCGTTTAAGAAAAACATGAGATTAAAAAGTGTCTTTTTATCTATACTTAAAGGAACAAATGAAAATCAAAAGCATAAGAACATAGTATTATATATTCCATCCCGTGTTTAGATTGTAATAAAGTTTACATAGGTGAAACTAGTCGCATGAAAGAAACTCGAATGAAAGAACATAAAGCGAATATCAGGACCCTATCAACAAAATCTAAATTAGTAGAACATATTCTAACACATAAACATCAATTTGACTTGACAAACGCCAAAACACTAGCCTTAGAAAGCGATTGGAGAAAACGAGTCATCAAAGAAAGTAAATTAACAAGGAGGAGTGTAGGAAAATCGATAAATGAAGTAAAACATACCATTCAAATAGGCATATAAATAACCTTCATAACTACAAATAAAACAAGAATAATAATAATATTTATAAAACGAAAAAAAAAAACCTTATAAACATAGATCAGCCATATTCATTCAATCTGTCTTGTCCCTCTTACTTACAATTTCTAAACATAATATCGAATGCTTGTATTTAATTTGGTTTTATGTTGTGAGAAGTGCTCTACCTTGATACCAAAGTCGATACCCTCCACATAAATACAAATAAGTTATCAACATTAATCATTGGTAATGTCAGTTGCTTTCGACAATCTCACCTTTCTTATTTGCATTTTCTCAGATAATATCGAATGGAATTTCATTTATTTCTCATCAATCTTACCTTTCGTATTTATAATTTCTCAAACAATATCTAGTGTACAGACTTATTCTGGTTTATGTTTTGAGAAGTGCTCCACCTTAACACCAAGGTCGACACCCTTCACATAAATAAAAATGAGATATTAACATTAATCATTAGTAATGTCGATTGTTTTCAGCAACCTTACCGTTCTTGTGTATATTTTCTCAAATGATATTGAGTAGAGTTTCATTTATTTTCATTAATTCTACCTTTCGTATTCATATTTTCGTAAACAATATCTAATGTATAGACTTATACTAGTCTATGGTGTGAGAAGTGTTCCACCTTAACACCAGAGGTCGACACCCTACACATAGGTACAAATGAGTTATTAACATTGCTAATTTCATTTATTATTTTTATCAATCTTACTTTTCTTATTTATGTTTCTCAAAATAATATCGAGTAGAATTTCATTTATTTTCATCAATCCTACCTTTCGTATTTATCTTTCATATTTACATTTTCTCAAACAATGCCTACGATAATTTCATTTATTTCATCAATCTTACCTTTCATATTTGTATTCTCTTGAATATTATCTAGTATCATTTCATTTATCTATTTGTATTTTCGCGAATGATATCTACTACAATTTCATTTATTTTCATCAATCTTACATTTCTTGTTTATATTGTCTCGAACAATGTCTAGTATAATTTCATTCATTTTCATCAATCTTACATTTCGTATTTATATTCTCTCGAATATTATCTAGATAAAAACTTGTTCTAGTTATTATTGTCGGTAGTGTTCCATCTTAAATAGGAAGAATAATAATTACAATAAAAACAACATCACAAACAACAACATTAACAAAATCATAAACAATAACAACATAAACAACATCATAAACAATATCAATGTATTTTGTAATATTTCATTATCTTATTGTTAAATTTAAATTTAATTTGGATTTTAATTTAATAACAATAAAAAAAAATTTTCATAATGTCATTGCTGATGATGTGTTCAGTCCGAACACGAAAGCTCGGATCCCCATCTTTTATTTCTGATTGAAATAAGATTTTCTATTGATTTTCACAGCAGTTCTCTC